TGCCCATATAATATACCGTGATCTGAAAAAAACGAAAATGTTTTGGCCTGGAGATTTCCTTCACCGTTCGGCGCCCTGACAGACGTCTTGTTAAAGCTTGGCGATTATGGTTCGTACACTTTGTGTTTGGTTTATTGCTAGAGATATCACACTTCTTTTAGGCATCTCTCGAACAGTGATGCCGTCTGGTGGAGCAAAAGGGTTCGGTGGCACCGAAGGCTTCATGGCACCAGAAATCGTTAGGTTCAATGGGAGGAGGAGTACACACAAAAGGTTCGTATTTATTAGGTTGTCCCATAATTAGTGAATCACTTTGGGTATTTTTGAATTCAAATTTTTTTCTTTTTATGTGGAGTCTTTGCTCATCCAAACATACATCTCTGTCATCTACAATGTATTGCCTAAACAAGGAAATTTAGTCGCTGTCTTATCTCTAGAATTCCAGGAGCTATTGATCGAAGAAAGATCGGAAGTCGAGTTTGAGGTCATGTCACTTAGCGTAAAGTTTCTTCCTGGAGAAGAGCGCTAGAGGTCAGACTGAGTTGTCTTTTGTTGACACGAGGATAGGGCCACATATAGGAGGTGAAAGAAGTGCTAGCCTGGAAGTCTCCAATTTTTTATGAATATTCTCTGCAAGGTGGGGTCGAACGACCTCAGGAAAAAAGCAGACTTTGTCTTGCTTTACTTTCAAATTGAACGCGTCGCCATTGCGCTGTAGATGCTGATCTTCTTCAGTGACCCTAGTATTACTGGGCGGCGGTTCCCAGCGTAAGGGTCACTCTCGTGCTCATACAATATCTCGGAAGGGTCGGACTCAAAGGGGGTTCGGCTTTTGCTGTCAGAACTCCCGAACCCTTCATGCTAAGCTGCTGCTTGTTGGAGATTTGCTAGTACACTCCACCCAGTCCAGAACCCTGATGCATATGCTGGATGATCACTGTAAGGAACTAAGAGAGATCAGAAGGAACATGATGATGTCAGATCGTGTGTGGAGCTGTTTCGGGCTCAAAGCATACAAGATACAAACTAAATATTTTAAAATCTTTACAACTCTACGTAGATGTCTACATTCCATCATTTTAACAAGTCGGACATGCTCCAGCAAATGGCGACAAGTTTGTCCAGATCCACCCTCAGTGGCGCTGGGTACAGCAGTGAGATTGCCACTTGAGGGGTAGTTGGAGTGTGGGTCATCTTCAACTCAAAAAGCCAACCTCTCGATAGAGTGAATTACAAGTAGACCGCGGATTGAGGGAGCGTGCCCTCGCCTATCCGCTGGTTGATTCTCTATGTTGTTGGGCGTTTGAAAGATCCTAATCAGAAGTGATTAAGAGGGGAGCTCAAAAATAGGTTCCAGAAAAATTGAAGTATCAGCCACGGAAGGCAGCATGTACAATGGGCTGAGTAATCGCTCAGGTAGGATAATGTGGATGCTACTTCGCAAAACATGTTTCACGCCTTCACCATTTTTCTTGGATTTTTAATAACAATAAATGTAAAGTGATTCACTAATTATGGGACAACCTAATAGTAGGCAAGAATTGAGATAACTTCGTATAGGATCACTGTTTTCATTTCCGCTTCTCAGGAGGCACAGTCATAACATTTTAGGTCGACTGTTTTTCGTTTGGGATGTTTTTATACGAGCTGATCACTCTCAAGCATCCCTTCGAAGGACAAGAGCACGTGAAAGAACGTTTATTGGGAGGCGCTCGGCCACGTGTTTTTGCCACATGTTAGTTTCTGCCCCGTTTTTCTTCTCTTTTAATTATTGAGACTTCAGTAGTACACAAATGTTCAGGAGTTGTTAGTTCCATCACCAATGTTGGACCTGGTAATCCACTGTTGGGCAACATTGCCAGACGATCGGCCGTCATCATCTCAGCTTGTGGGATATTGTTCTGCTCCTGAATTTACTCACATACTTGATGTTTGTGAGCTTGATGGTGAGACGTGTTTCATGTTTAGATCCTGGGGTACCTGACAGGAGGCCCGTCGCGCGGCAAGAAGGTTAGATTCACCGCGAACCGAGTCGCAGCGCGTGCTGTGCGAGTACTAGAACGCTGCAATGACTGCAATGATACATTCCGTTTAACTTGAGGCGAAAAGTACATGTTGCGACCTGTTTGCTGACTACGCTTCTTGTCGCGCAACGGGCCTCCTGTCGGGTACCCTAGAATTTTGGAGTCACTGTGTAGCACTAATGGGTTTTATTTCGACAAAATTTTTAGAGGCTTTACCACCCTCCTCTGTTCTACCTTACTATATTGGTGATGATATGGATGATCCAGACGATTTTGAAGCTCAACTTTGGTTAGGTGGTAAAAATATAACGGTGATGAGTTGCACGCAGTATGGATGGCTGGATCAGAAGGTAGTAATTCCAAATTACTGTTTGGTAGCGTAAAGCAGTTTGTTTTCCAGGTCGTTGAAACATCTCTTCGTCCGCGATTCACCAATAGAGTTCGTGATACAGTTTGGTCCTGCGACGAGAGTGGTGAAGTCACGGTTTTCGCCTCGTCCCTGCACGAGTTGACGCGATTGCAGTTGCCTTCACTCACTGCACCAATTGTCAGTCTAGAATAAGCCGTAGGTATCGAGTCAGATTTTTTCGCAATAAGTTCTTTTGGCAGATTCGCGCTCCAGAATTGATCGGCTCTGATGTGCTTCTACTGGTGACTGGGCGTCAATTGGTCCTCCTTCGGCTTAGCGAGTCTAATTCAGTGGTCCTGCTTGCAGCTCTCGACAGCCCGTTTCCAATCAAAACCGCGGCTGTGGTTGTGCAAGCCAGCAGCAGGTAACGAAGGTTTCAGCAGGCAGTAATGCTGACTTTTCCGCGAATTCTCGTTGGTTTAGGCAAATCTGGACAGGCCATCCGGAAGGACGTATATCAATACATTATCTCAGCCAAGAGGACAAGTTTTCGTTTTCTTCCTCGTTATATTTGCCGGAAGACAACGTTATTGTCCGAGACATTGTGACTAGCAGAGATGGAAGCAATGTGTGGGTAACAACTGAAGGAGGTACGTTTGAAAAGCAGTGCGTGTCACAGTTTCTGTAGTAGTTGTGCGTGACTAATTGGCCTTTTATTAAATGTAACAATGCGTTCATGAAGGCTCTCGCGTGTTCTGTTGGGATGTGGAACGACGTCAAATCAGCTCATCTCTGGACATCCGCAAAGTTATGCCAGGTAGGTAATCA